TTGTTAGACCCAGGGAAGATGGTAATATCATCAATTGTACAGTTTGTCCAGTCTCAGCTACTATCAGTAGTGATCATTGGTACTGGTTTGAATCAAGTATGTGTTTACTAATAATTATTATTTATAATTTATTACTTGTGTATAGGACCTGTTGAGAGTAACATTGGAACACAAATGAAACAAGATAATGATCAGCCATCAGATGAAAGTGAAGAAGTTAAATTTATTACTATTACTTTATATTACTATTATTTTACTACAGACCTCCTGTTAGACAAGAAACCTCTAAAGAGTGACCTCCTTAGGTTATTCAAAAGTTCTGCTGCCCATTATATGATCATTGGGACTGCACTTGATCTTGAAGTGGATGACCTGTTACCATATCCAGCAGCTACTACAAGCAATCTCATTCAAGTATTCAAGAGATGGATAGACTCCAATAAAAGAGTGACCTGGAGGAAAGTACTTCAAGTTTGTGACGATTTCCCAGAGGAACTTGGAAGAGCAAAAGCCGACGTAGAAGAATTTCTATCATCAGACAGAGCCCGTGAAAATTATCAAGAATGAATTATACATGCATGTACTGTACATACACTTCCTAACATTTCATTATGCATTGCATTTGCCTGTGTGCTTATAATACATATGTACATTGAATTACTATAAGTTATTTTTTTGTATCCTTCTTATTTTACAATACATTTGCCAATGAGGAGCCATCATAATGCAACAACTGCATGATATTTGTTGTTCATGCACTTTCTATAGAATATGCTTATTGGTGTTTTGCTGGAAAGCTGCGATAATTTCTGGGCCCACATAAATGCATGGGAGCAGTCATTGGAGAAAGCTAACTTCACAACAACTTATTTATATAACTATTGGATTTTTACATGCATCAGGAAAATAAGATTAAGAATTCTAAAGAAGGCAATGAACTATTGTAATTTAATAGTCACAAAAATTAGACAAAGAATTGATACATTGATGATACATTTCATTGTATCCATATAAGGTGTATCCATTTAAGGTATATATGATTTAAAGCCAAACCCGCTGACTCCACCCATCACTGATTACTTTTAGGATAGGTTTCAATGACGTTGTAGGTAGTACGAGTGAAGTAAAGCTGTGGGTCTGTGAAACCAGTTGATTGAAGAAGAAAGAACAATTTACGGAGATGAGAATGTGACGGATTGAATGACATCATAGTGAGATCAAGAAATGACTTTAACTGAAATAGAAATAGAGAGAGAGGGGGAGAGAGACAAAATTAAATTCAAGCATGTACATATAACTTTGGTCAAACATTAGTGCATTAAGACACAATCAATGGTGGGAGTGTATTTCTAAAAAAATAATCCGTACCACTGAATATACAATGTAGCTAAAAATATCTTGAAATTTTGCATCACAAAAGTTAAATGTCTTTATAACAATGTTTCACTTAATTAATTATCATTTTGACAAGAATACATTTAATCTCTCTGCATGGCTCCAGTGTCCAGTGTTCAGGCCAAAGTTCCTGTACTATAGTACAGGAACTTNTGTCAAATTTTAGCTAAAATTTCAATGAAAAATTCTCCATTTTATTACATTTTCTGATGCATATACATGTTTTCATGTTGTGTAGAAAGTTTGAGCTGACTAAATTTGCTCCAAAATTGAACCAAAGACCTGGCCTGTATACATAGTACAGGGTCTTTGGCTTCAATCTCTCTCTCTCTTACCTTCTCTTCTGCTGGTGTCCAGTGTGCATCATGTTCTCAATAACCACAACACGACTCTTATTTCTCTTAGCAACTGATTCAACTTTAGATAATATCAGCAGAGCATCTTCATCTGACCAATTCTGTAGAATATCCTTTAAAAATGAGTGAGGGAGGGAGGTAGATTATTAATGATAATTATTGTTTTAGTGAAATGTGTTCCTCAATATTCAAAGCTGCAACATAATCCCTGATAAAGACGAGAGAATAAAAACAAAAAATTGAGAAAAATTGAAAACACCAACATAGAAAAAATTGAGAAGACCAACCCCAATTTTTTGTTTTTTCTCTCTTCTTTAATTATTAGGGATTACGCGAAAGCATGGTGAAAGGTATCATAACTATCAAAGCTGTAGTAGCTATTACAACATGTACAGTATGTTTAAGACACCCAAACACTGAAATTTATTATTAACACCACATGCATTTACATAGACAATATATACTCAATGAATAATTCATAAGTTCAGCGTCATTATGAGTCAGCTCACTACATACATTTACATTGACGTCCCTTCCTCACTTTGAATTTTAATAGCATCAAGCAGAACAAGTTTGTTCCTTTCATCTTGAAATTATAATGTTAAAGTACAGCCTACAGGAAGGCCCATGCAGTCCACCACCAATGTCACATATATGAGAATATTATGATCACAAATATGGATAATTGGCAATTATTGCGGGGGTGTTGAGTCAACATTTCAGCATCATGGAGGTCTTG